GCTGCTGGGATTGCAGGTATGAGCCACTGTGCCTGGCCCAGTATTGTGTCATTTTAAAAACTCAAGAAGGGGTAACATAGTTGTCTATAATCTTACAAACCACTGTCAACAGAGCACATCATTTTCTCTCTATGTTAGTGTTACAATTAAACCCTGAATCAAGTGTGATTTTGAATCTTTTCTTCCTAGTAAACAAGCCAGCCCAACACAGCCAGCACACAATGAACAAGCCACGGCTCTTCGGTTTCTCCCACGGGAGCCTCTGCCAAGGCCATAACTTCCAGAACACCAAAACTACTGGGAGAGGAAATCCTTGCAAATAATTTCCAGAATGTTTAGAATAACAATTCCTGGGCCAGGTGCAATGGCTCACAGCTATAATCCCAGCACTTTGGGAGGCCGAGGCAGGCAGATCACTTGAGGTCAGGAGTTCGAGACCAGCCTGGCCAACATGGCAAAACCCCGTCTCTACTACACATACAAAAAAAATTAGCCAAGCGTGGTGGCAGGCGCCTGTAATCCCAGCTACTCGGGAGGCTGAGACAGGAGACTTGTTTGAACCCAGGAGGCAGAAGATGCAGTGAGCCAAGATCACCCCACTGCACTCCAGCCTGGGCGACAAGAACGAGACTCCGTCTAGGGAAAAAAAAAAAAAAAAAAAGGGCACGGCATGGTGGCTCACCTGAGGTCAGGAGATCGAGACCAGCCTGGCCAACGTGCCAAAACCCTGTCTCTACTAAAAATACAAAATTAGCCGGGTGTGGTGGCGTATGCCTGTCATCCCAGCTACTAGAGAGGCTGAGGCAGGAGAATTGCTTGAACCCAGGGGATGGAGGCTGCTGTGAGCCAAGATCACCCCACTGCACTCCAGCCTGGGCGACAGAGCGAGACTCTGTCTCAAAAAAATAAGTAAAAACTAACAAATGCTGTGTTTTAGTTAAATTATGCTTTTCTCCTGTTGTTCTCAATAAGAGTAGGGTGCACTCTCCCCACCACAGCTGCAACAAGTACAATGTCAAACTTTCCACCCACGGGCTGCTCAGGCCCCTGAAGCCCTGTGGGGTCAGGCCCAGGAGAGTTCCATTGGGGCCCCCATGCCGCCTGCTTGAGCCCTGCCACACTGCTCAGCTCCCTCCTCGGCTGGGTCCTGCCACTGGATCCCAGGCAGCAAAATCCCCGCCTCAAGGAAACCCAGCCTGTTGCCAGGAGGGTTGCCCAAGCATCATCTGAGGGCCTAGGCATGTGGATTTTCAGAGTTCCTGGGAACAGCACACAACTGGGGATGGAAACCAGCGTCCTAGAGCCCAAGTGTGCCCCAGCTGCAGCGAAGGAGGGACGCGGGCCTTGGGGTTCTGAGGGACCGTGGAGAAGGCAGTGTGGTGGCAGCCTCAGAAAGCCCAAGGCCACCTGCACATGGGGGTGAGCCCTCGAGGGGGCTCCTCGCTCACCCACCTGCACCTGCTCCTCAGTGGTCTTCTCCATCCCACTGTGGCCCTCGTCACTGAGGGCTCCGTCCTCTCCCTCCTCGTTGCCTTCGTCATCATCCTCACTGCTGTCACTGCCGGAATCTTCCAGGCCTGAGAACACACTCTCCTCGCTGTCGGAGACGCCAGAATCGCTGCCGGTGCTGTGGCTGAGCGGAGAGGTGCAGAGGAGAGGAGGCTGCAAGGAAACACTGGGTTGGTGACAACTGCCCCTCCAGGCATGGGGCGCTGAACACTGCACGAAGAGCTGTCTCTCACCCCTCCAGGCACCCACCAGCAGCTCCATGCAGCCTCCAGGACCACATCCCTCTAGTCACAAACTTCCACCAAAACCATCCACCCAACCTGAGCCTTCCTCATCTTCTACCTCCACTGATAAGACAGACTCTTGCCTTTGGCATCGACATTTTAATTCCTAGCACCTCACGGGGAAGGGGCTTTTCAAGGACAACCTCCTCCTCTTGGAACTCAGCTCTCAGCACAGAACTCACACTGCTCTCTACCGCCCACTGCCGCTCCAGAGGCCCTGTGGGGTCAGGCTGGGCTGGACTCCACCGGTTCCCTCACACAGCCTGCCTAAGCCCTCTCCACACCTCACCCTGGCATCCAAGGCCCCAGAGTCATGAGGTCACTAGAAAAGGGGCTGGGGGCTAGAAAAGAACCGGGGTCCCCGAAGGGCTTTTACCACCTGCAGCAGAAGCCTCCTCATTTAACCAGATTGGGACCAACCATTGATCAGCAAAATGAAAGGATTGGCTGACGAGTCACAGGAATGACAGACTCCAATTGCAACCACACACCAACCCACCCACTCCTCTCTCTGAGCAGAGCCCTGCTGGCTGCGTGACACCAGCACACACAGTGTTTGGGTCCTTCACTGGCCTTAAAAAGTGGAACAAGAACTTAGACTCAGGAAGCAGCTGAAGGCCAGGGACAGTAGCTCATGCCTATAATCCCAACACTTTGGGAGGCCGAGGGGGGTGGATCACCTGAGGTCAGGAGTTCAAGACCAGCCTGGCCAACATGGTGAAACCATCTCTACTAAAAATACAAAAATTAGCTGGTGGTGGCAGGCACCTGTAATCCCAGCTACTCAGGAGGCTGAGGTACCCGGGAGATGGAAGCTGCAGTGAGCCGAGATTGTGCCACTGCACTCCAGTCTGAGCAACAGAGCAAGGCTCTAGCTCAAAAAAAAAGAAAAGAAAAGAAAAGAAAGAAAAGAAAATGGAAGCAGTTGAATGTAGAATTTTAGATTTTACTGCTTTCCTAATAGTTTACAAGTCTCACTTAAGGTACAACCTGGATGTATTAGCTATCGCATACTGAGTGTTCACACAATGCCTCTCTCACACAGTCATGATGTGTCTTGGTACTCAGTCAGCTACACAATCACAATAACTAGTGGAAATGGCATGCATGGCCTGGGCACAAACAACTGGCTCCTGAGGACCATTTAACTCAAGGGTGCAAGCAGCAGAACCTGGCGCCTAGAGCGGCCTGCGGGCCGTTCAGCCCATGGGAACCAGGATTAGTTGAGTTCGCTTCACAAAGCAATGGGGCAGTTTCAACAACCCAGCGCGGCCGAGGGGGCTGTGAGAGGCTGGCTGTCCATTCCCTCCACCACCCAGTTTGACGATCCCCACAACCAAGACGGGGCTGAGCTGGCAGAGGGCAACAGTGAGTTCTGATACAGCAAACGCAGCAGACTCTGGGTTCTATTCAGGTTTTCTTATTCTCACGTCTATCCCATGAGCATAAAAACGCCATTAACTAGCGTATAAGTAGGTTAAGCATTTACTGGGGGCGCAAGCCGAGCCCTTTTACTGGCAGGACGCACAAATGGAACGGCCGGAGAGGCTGCTGCAAGGGGCGCTTATATCCCCACTCCCTGCACCCCCGTTTCTTTGCTTCCCGGACGCCGTCCTTCACCCTGCAGTCTGCTCTGCCTAAGACCCCCCGATAGAGGAGCTGCGCCCACGCCCAAGGCCGATTCACTGGGCACGGGCGCCCAGGTGACAGCAGCCGGGCC